GGGGGGAGCGCGGGGGGGCCGCGGACACGCGCGCCGGTGGCAGAGCGCGGGGATTCGGGGAGCGCGCACAGCGGCGGGAGCGCCGCGCACCGCACGGGTGTTGGTGGGCGCAGCGCAGCGGTGAGTGATGCCTTCCCTCGCTCCCGGGCGGGGAGGGAGCGAAAAGTACTGGCGGACAGGGAATGCGGGGCTCAAACTGAGTTTTGTGGCTGCTTGTTTCTTGTTGATCGGGGTTTTTTGTTTTGTTTGCTCTTGGTGGGTTTCTTTCTTTTGGTGGTGTTGGGACTTTTTTTTCCTATCAGCCGGTGGTTTTTATTCATTCCAGTTTACTCCCCGGAGCTTGTCTGGAGTTCTGCAGCAGCGAAGAGACTTTGCCGCCTTGAAACAGTTTGACACGCGCGTGGTTTCTGTGAGCGGTGTTTCCTCTGTTTTTTTCCTCGATTAGTGGAGTTTTAAAGGAGGTGCGAGCGGAGAGAAACGCCTCCCGCATTGTTGCGGACCCATCCCTAGAACTCTGACTTCTCCCCCCCCTCCACGCCAGAGTACGATTAAATCTCCGAGTGTTTAGGAGGAAAGAGTATCAGTTCCCGATAATTTAACTCTAAGAGCGGTCCTAAAGTGCGGAGCCGGTTAGGAAAACTGGGCTGCCTGGCCATGACGGGCTGCAGGGCGCCGTTCCCGGGCCGCGGCTGCCCAGGCTCGCCACGCGGGCGGCGTGGCCCCGCCGGTACAGAGCGGATGCCGCAGGTGCGGCCCCGGCGCGCCCCGCAGCGCACACCTGTAGCGCCCGCGCATAAGTTGGTGCCAGCGGCGTGGCGGAGGGGATGGGGACCCGCTGATGCCCGCCATCCCTCCCTCCTSGTGTTTCACGTGGGGAGGGGGGCAGTTCTTATTGTTTTCAGTTACCTTTGCTAAGTGCGGAGGGATCTGAGTCTGTGCACGCTCGAGAGGGGCAAAACGTGCGGCCGTGGGTCGGCGGGACATGTGCTGTCGGTCGCACGGGTCGCGGCGTGGGGCCCTCCCCGCCGTGCCCCCCAGCCCGGTGCGCGGCGTTGCCGGCGTGGGGACGGTGCGGCGGGCGGCGATGGCGTCCTGCCGCTCCCGTAGCTCGGCGCCAGTGCAAGCGGCTCCCGTTCCTGCCGCCGTCTGCCCGCGCCCGGCGCCGACAAGTTTAAAGTGCGGGGTCCGGAGGGCTGTGCGGTGCGGGGCGGCCGGCGTGCCCCCGGCGCGGCACGTAGGCAGCGCCCGGCTGCAGGGAAAACAAAGGGCTCGCATGTGCTGCGGGCGGCGCGGCTCCCCGGCGCGCTGGGGAAAAGCGCTCGTCCGCGCCCGGCGGGGGCTCGGCCCCGGGGTGGCGGGTGTCGGTGGGGTGACACTTGTCCTGCGCGGGACGGTGATTTTAGGGGCTGGCCGCCGGTTTTGGAGGAGTTTGGAAGGGCGGTGAAACTTTGGATGCACGCTCGCTCCGCACGGCACCGCGCTCCGCGCACGGCACCGCGCTGGGGCGGGGGGCGAGGCCCCGCCGGCCGGATCGGGGCTGCTCCGGGACCGGGGGTCCGCGTCGCCCCCGCCGCGGCGTCCCCGCGTTGCCGGGAGGTCTGCGACGGCCCTTTGAAGTGAAACTGTTGCCATGTTTGAATTACGTCAGGGCCGAGCCATGAGGAACCGGCGCGGCGCTGGGGGGAAGGACAAGGGGGCGGCGGGGCACGGCCGGTACCGCTCCGGGACGGGGGTCCGGGGCTCGGCCCTGCGGCCGCGGCTCCATCCCCGCTTCCCGCCGCTCCCCCCGCGCCGGATGGGGCGGCTGCTCCGCGACCGCGTGGTGGGGCGGCGTTTGCAGCGCGGGGGCCGCCTCGCAGCGCCCACCTCCGCGCTTGGGGCTTTCCTCCCTGGCGCGCCGCCTTCCCCTTCCTGCTCTCTTCCTATTTATTTTTAATTTTACTCGTCTTTCGGCGAGTTGAGCGCTTGGCAGCCCCGCGGGGGGCGGGGGGGCCGCGGCCACCCGCGTGTGCGCTCCCGCGGCTCCACCTGACCGGCGGGGCCGCCCGCGAAAGTAGGTCGTGTGCCCCGGGGGGAGGGGGGGTCTTTGTTCCCGGCGCCGCCGCCCGCCCGGCCCCTGCCGCCGCTCCAGCCGCCGGCGCTAACGGGGGGAGCGGGGCCGTGCCCGGGGCCACGCGGTGCCCGGCGGGAGCGGCGCGACGGGGCTCTCTCTGCCTGTCCGGGCGTTTTTTAGCGCTGTTATTTAGGGTTTGGAGTCTTTTTCTGTTCTGTTTTAAACTCGCAGGCTTGCGCCWGGGAAGTGCTCCCTGTCGCGCTGTCCCTTTGGTGAGATAAAAGTTACCGTCTCCTGTCGTTCCCCCCGTCCGGCTGTGTGCAGCCGAAGGGATTTAAAGGGACCTGCCAAACCTGTTGTTTACTCGTACTGTTTGCACGCAGCGAGCAGGGCTGAATCCCGCCCTGCCCCGGAGCCCCCGGCGGCGCTTTCCTGGCAGGAACGGCCCCGGTTTATCCTACAAAGGGCCTCGTCCCCGACTGATGGCCCGTCCTCCGGACCTGAACTACTCAATGAACGTTACAGTTGCTAAAAAGTTGGGAGCTGCCCCCCGGCGCTGTGGCTGTGCGGGCAGCCGGTGCGGGATGCGGGATGCAGGCAGCCGATGCGGGATGCAGGCAGCTGATRCAGGATGCTGCCCGATGCTGTGCCCTGAACACGTGTCTGGGCTGGAGGCCGGGCCCTGCCCCCGTTCCCTCGTGGCTGGGGAGCGCCAGGAGAAGGCCCAGCRTCCTGCAGTTCAGCCCAGAACTGCAGAAGTTTTAATTTAAGTTTTAATTTGGTGCTTAGGAAGGTGGCAGGCTGTGGAGACGAGTGTTTGGATCTTTGGACGAGGCAGTCTGTGAGGGTGGTGGGTCCTCAGCAAACTGCTGTTGTGTCCTTGCTTCCAAAGGCGGGACTGTTTGTGGCAGCCCCTTCTCCTCGCCTGTCTGCACACAGACAGATCCACTGTGTAGTTCACAGCTTATTTAAATAAAAGACTGCACAAACTCTGCACCATAGGGACAGACAATGAACTGGAAACCCTTCTGCTGGCACGAGTGGACACTCAACTCCTTTGTTACACAGGTAAATTCTATGTTTCTTGGGATCTGTGGTCGGGGTAGGCAATCTGCAAGTAAACTGTCGGGATTTTCAAACACACCCACAGGCATGCAACATTCAGCTTCCACTGAAAGGAGGTGGGATTGAGTGCTAGAGCCTCTGGGAAAAATTCCTCTTCACTTCACTCTCTAAAAGGAGCTAATTGCCTACATATTCAGTCTTCCTTTAAGAAGAAAGTATCACTCAGTTCTTAGTAGATGTTAAAAAGGCTGATAAATCCACAGAGGCTAAAAATTAGGTTAAAACTCTGTTGTCTTATTTGTGCTGAACAGCTCTTCCTGCATTACCAAACTCTGCTTTGCATTGATTCTGAACACCTGATGCTCTGTACCTCATAACGACAGGAATGACCTTCACGTGGTCCTGCTTGACAGTCAGCTTCATCCTTGCTCTCCTTGTAGCATTTACTTTTTAACAGAAAGAAGCGAGTGAGCTGGGGCTTGAAAGTTGCCCGGGCAGGACTCCATTTCACAACTCAAATCTTTGCATTTCTGTCGAATGTGCTCAGTCCAAAGTCCAAGTGAAATGACCAGTAAYACTGCTTAAGGACATAGAAATGTGTCCTTTTTAATGAAGTCACTTTAGCTATTCTGCCACATAATTACTGCTCCTTCTGTTCAAATCCCCACCCAGGTATGTTACCCTCTTTGAAAACAAAGAAGAGTCCAGCCAAAAAAACACAAACCCAGACAGACTGTCCGGTGTCTCATAATCTCAGGTGGCTGTGATGCTTTTTCAGTGGCAGGTGGTTGCAGACAGCATCACAGTCACAGCAGCTGTGGTGACTGTGCTCAGATAAGCATCACAGGCTGAACTCCAGCACATGTTTGAGAACATCCCAGTTCTCCTCGCTGGGCTCGTGCTCAGGCTGAGCACGGTGTTGGTTATGCAACAGGAGTTTCAGGCAGGGGGAAGTCATCTTTCAAGATGGAATGTCTGCAGGTGGGACAGGTTTGGAATTTTTTTTTCCCCCCTATGCAAATCTTGCTGATTATTGTTTTCATGCTTCGGCCTATCCCTTGTGGAATACCAACCACATGGCAGTTCAGAGGAACACCCACGTGGCTGAGCCTTTCAGTTCTCTACTTTAAATGAGTTAGGAACTTTCTTCCCAGGGAAGATCCAACAGGTGGGTAGGCTGCTTTAAGGCTTGACTCCTTCTGAAAATGTAAGTGGAAGCAGCTTGTGATCCAGCCAGGATGCCATGGAGGCTCAAATTTGGGGAAGAAATGTTCAATTTGATTTTTTTGATACGAACTTAGTAGTTGCTGCTAGGTGTGTCTGCTGTACTGAGATTTCATTTCATCACTGAGCACACAACAATAGCTGTGGACATCCAGCAGCAAAAGAGTGAGTTACTTATTTTGTGAGAAGGATTCCTGAAGATATGGCTTTGACCTTTTGCTGGTTTTTGCTCAGCTCATCGAGTGAAAACTCCACAGCATGTTCAGATGTTCCCGGTCTGTAATGACCAAATACAGCTTTTCCCCAAGTAAAATKGTTTTGGGTGGAGAGAGGAAGGAAAATCTGAGGATATAGGGGACCAGAAAAGTGTTTAGTGTTCACAATTCCAATGTCACAGTTGTTGGATATTAGTCACTCTGTTTTAAATTATAGGGAGAGACGAGAGGAAAAAAAAATGTTTTTGCAGGTAGAGAAGTTGCATTTTCAGGGGACTCCAATTACGTTGGTCTCTTGACATCCTTGGAGCATTCTGGCTTTGTACATGTTAAAATCTTCCTTTTTTGAGGGGTACAATTTTAACTTCTCTTCCAAGTTTTTGTTGTTTTTTTTTTTTGCAGCAGCAGCCTGTAAACTCAGGGGAGGTATGTTTACATTGAGCCTCTGAAATAGATCAGCTCCTCTGTTGATGTACAATTCTCTGTCCTACAGTTGATTTTCAGTAGAGGTATAGCAGTTTATTTCAGCAGAGGGACAGGCCCAAGAATTTATTGTGAGACAAGCAACTCTGCTTCTGGCGCCAYAGACAGCTCTGGAAACATTTTTCATGTGTGTGCATGTACCTGGGTGTATGCTCTCGCAGATGCAAAAGCCAGAGCACGTATGTTCTTTCTATATTAAGGAATCTAGTTTGTTCTCTTTTTTAAAAAAAAGAAAATAGTATCATTTTGGTGTATGAAGTGCTGTAGGGATGACAATTTTGCGATTTTTAGTGACGGGAACGGGCTGCATCAACATATGTGGGGTAGGTGGTATTTTACTCTAGCATGGCTTCAGGGAGGCTGTGCCAAGGCTGTTGTGTKTTGTTTTGAAGGAGAAATCGAATTGTTCTCCTCTCTGGCAAAGGTGCTGGTAGTTCTGGGTTGCACAAAGGGTGAATTATCCCAAGTGGCAGTGGGGAGTTGGGAGGAGAGTAGGATACTGAGTATTTGGACTGGCATGTCTCTGCTCTCCCATAACTCCAGGGAATGTTTCTTTCAGCCTTGCAAGAGGTAGGTGAGCCTGTTCATTCCCACTTGGCCTGGTAATTGTGTTACAAAGGGAGACATGCCTGTCTTCTAGGAATTCCGTCCTTTCTATTATAAAAGGTTTTCATTCTTCTTGGGTGATCAGAAGGAATGCAGAAGGAATCTGGAAAAGCAGATGAAAGTGGCTCAGCTTACTTTAAAATCTAAGAGAGTTCAGAAGTTCTTCCCTAACTTGAAAATGAGCATCTGAAGCAATGCCTCCTTTTAATTTAGACCAACAAATTAAGTTTTGCAAAGAAAATTAAGGACCAAATTCTAGTCCTGACAGGTAAAAAAACGTGAAACCATTTTCACACATGTATGATGCATGCTGCTTTGTACCAGCCTTACACAAAGGTAATAAGCAGGGTGTGGGGATTTTTTTTTTTATTTCCCGCCTACTTTTTTTCTTTTGACTCTTCATGACTCTACTGTTCTCCTCCTGACTTCAGGTTTTTTTTTGTGCAACATAAGTTTCTATTTTTGATCTGGCTTTTTCAAAAGTGAGAGGGCAGAAGAATGGAGAGAGCATTTTCCTGGAGACTTTCCTGAGTCCGAGTTCTTAAAGTGGAACTTGAGGGARTAGCAGCTTCTGCAGGGGGAAGATGCAGTGAGGGAGACCAAGGAGGAGGAGGAGGATGACTTTCTCCTGGCTTGGGGAAATACTGCTTTCCAATAGTGCAGATAAATCTCTGTTTCTGCAGAATGACAGATAATGCTCCACTAAGATTTCTGATTATTTTTTGGTGAGCTCTCCCTTTTGCTGCTGTGCAGCTGCTGATACATTTTAATAAYCTGCTTAAATTTGGCAAATAGTAACAAATAGCATTAATAACTTCTGAGATTTGGCAGAATTACGTTCTGTAACGCTTTTTAACTTCTAAGCAAGTTACTTAGTTTCTACTWGCCATCTTTTTTGTCTGCCCCGATTTCATGTGGGTGAAGTTCCACAGGTGTCAGTGTAGCCAGCAGCCTAACTCCTTTTCTAATTTGAAATCGAAATTGCAAAGCTTTTGACTTAAACCTTTTAAAGAGCAGTCATATTTACTTCTAAGTACATATTAGCTATTAAGCTCTCCAGCTGACAGAATATTTAGTGTATAATGGTCAAATGGCAACTGTTTAGGATTAAATGTGTAACTGGGCTGACGCCTTCCATTTATAACCGCACTTGGATGCAGTTGTCAGAGAAATCTGTTTAACTTGTGGTTTTGCTGCTAGCTCTTCCCCATTCAGGCATGATGTGTGGTAATACCGTTGCTGACCATTCATCAAGTGGGAAACAGATGGCACTAGTTTCCCTTCTATTGAAGGCTGGCGTTGAAAGGCTGCTCCTGCGAGAATGGCAGCAACGATGCAAACCAAAATATTTTCAGAATATGTGTGTTTTCCAGCCTTTGCCAGAACATTGATTGTAAAGCACRCATCTTATTCTGCTGTGGTGTAAATACCAGCTGGTGACAGAGATCACCTTCTCAGTGTCTGGATTTCTGGAAGAAACCGGGTTAGAAGGTAAAATACATTGTTGACAGTTGTTTATTGCCGTATAGTGGTCGAGATGTTCTTGTTGCTTAAGTTTGGCAAYGCTGATGAGCCTTATGTCTGCCATTAGTCTTGGACTTTCTAAAGAGAAGTACCAAATCACAGATTTAATGTTGGAGTAGTCAAACAAGATATAAAATTGCTGTTTGGAAGTTAAAAATTCCCAGGTGAGCATGCTGTCAGATCTCCAGAGGCTTGTTGAGCAGTGTCCTCAGGAGTGCCTCTTGTAGAAGTGCATCAGGTGCTAAGAARCTAAATTCTCAGAGTGTTTGCCTAGACACTGTTTATTTTCTTGTCTGATCAGGAATGCTGACCTGATTTGGCTGTGCATTCATTCCCTACACATCCCTGAAAACACATCCAGCAGGGGCTGAGAGCAGTTCTGAGTCTGATCACCCCTCAATGAGCCCATTCAGCAGGTCACTGCTGGGATACCTTCTTTTCCCTACTGGAGCTGCTCCTCCAGGCCCGTGCTGTACTGACACAGGGAGCAGTGTATCTCCTAAGAAKCATCTCCTGCCAGCATTTGGGGTGACTTTGCTGGATATTTGCACAAGTTAACCCCAGGAGAAYGTAGCYCTTGGTGAGTTCCTKGTGCTGTGRATGTGAAGAAAGGAATTCAGCGCTYCAAGCCTGTGGAAGACAGCCTGAGCTGGGACARGGGAGGAGAGACATCCTCTCCGTATTTCCCCCAGGCCTGGAGGATCTCCTTGGCACTCAGCTCAAGCAAATCCCTTGTCATCAACAAGCTCTAGAAAGTCAAGGCAAGCTTTGTGGAGAGTTGATTTGTGTCTTTCTAAATGTTGGTGCAACAGTAATTGCAAAGAGTCCCAACCTCAGTGGGTGTTAAGTTATGCTAGACTGAGCATAAACATGTACACTTGTGGCTGGAAATGGATTCCATAGTGGATTTTGTGTAAGAGCATTAGCCAGTAATAYTGGATATCATTTTTATTTGTTCTTGGGAGATCTTTTATTCTTGGGAGATCTGGGAGAAACTGCCGGTTTATTTTGCGGTGCTCCTGTACTCGTGATCTTCCCCTCTGGGCTTGGGGGATGTATTTTCTCCTCTGTGTAGGACTGTGACTAGGGTTGGGTGGTCTTTAGCAGGTGCTGTGGTCCCRCAGGAATGCACGGGATCTTTTCTTGTTGTGTATGATCTCCCTGTCAGTCAGGTGAGTGTGACCCTGGGTAAGGTCTTTTTGTGGCAGCACATTTCTGACCTCACCTGAACCTGCCTTTCCAARTATTTTATTGCCATCACGATGTGGCAAGTCTTGGCAGTGTAGATGGAAGATCTCAGATTATTTTTCTCTGTCTCACAGGAGGGTAAAAGGATTACAGCCCATGCCTTGCTGCAGGTGGGAGATCTGGGGACAGATGCCTGTGCCACATTCATTAACCAGTGACCTGAGCTGGGTTACTGGCACTTGGCAGTACCTGGGACTGAGAAGAGACAGAGTTCCCTCTCACCAGACTGGCCCCACAAGTGATGGAGTTGGGATATCAYTTTTTTGCTGGCATATGACTTGAAAGTCCTGCCYGGACTGCTGCTGGGTCATTCAGTARCTTCTAAAARAATTTAACGACTTGGCCTTTGTTAAGGAAAGAGAAGGAAATGTTTTATTTGCATGGCTCTGTCTAATTTTAATTTTTTTTAAAGCAGCAGTTCTCAGCAGTGGGAACCTGTTCTGGAGGTCCTTGCAGCTGGAAGGGTGTCCTCCTCTGAACATTGAATGAGTGACGAGCAGCAGAGGTGGCTGTGCTCGCTCCTTGCAGCAGGTGGCTGAGGCAAACCTCGCACCAGGGTCTGTGAAAAGGGGAACATCTTGGACCAGTCCCTGCCTGTGTTTGGAGACAGATGCTGTGTGGCCTGTGAGGACTTGCTGCGTGCCCAGGCCCAGCGCCAGGAAAGCACCAGCCTTGCTCAGTTGTTGGTTTGGTTTTTGGAAGCGTTGGTTTGGTTTTTGGAAGCGCTGCAGGAGCTCAGACAGCGTCTGGTGCCGTTCAGGCTGTTCCTGACAGGAGTGTGCCCTGGGGAGAGCCTGCGTTGAAGGGGTCTTTGTCATGGTGACTGCAGTGACTAACTTCAAAAGTTTCTGCCTGGAAAACAGCTCCACTGCATGCTAGCTGCTCTGATAGCAAATCCTGGCCGTGGTGTGCTGGGAACAGTCAGATCTGTGAGAGCAGGAGGGCGTTTTTTGCTCTCTGGGCTGGGTTTGCAGACCTGCAGGTTAAACAGCAGCAAACTTCCGTGTAAGCAGAGCTCTTGGCCCRGGATGTGTGATGTGCCCCGGGGTCCTGCTCCCCGGCCTTTTCCTAGCTGGGGTTCCTTSCCAGGGAGAGGAGAGCAGGGTGGGGAAGGCAGGAGGGCGAGGGCAGAGCGTGTGCTGACACGGAGATGGGATGCTCACCCAGSCCCTGGGAATGGAGAAGTGCTCCTGGGTCCTACAGCGCAGACAGGGCCACCGAGGGCTGGGTGGGGCTCCACCCTGCTGCTCTCAGAGCAGCTTTTCAGGTATGTCTGCCCTACAGCCTTGGGGTAWGACTGCAGCTCATTTCAAATGACTCCTACTCACTCTTCAGCAGGGTTTGCCAGGGGTGTTTGCAGCCAGCTCTGGTGGTGGTGATGATGAGGTAGCTRCAGTGAGCCAGAGTTCAGCTGCCAGCACCTTTTCCAGGGGCTTGGGCAGGTTCCCATGGCCTGTCCTGCAGCCTGTTGTGCCTCATGTGCAGGGCTTTCATCAGCCAGAGCAGCTGCATTCACACACCTGGGCTGTGCTGCTCTACCTGTGCCCTTAGAGTAGGTTTGTGCACTAAATGAGCTTTTTATGGTCCTGCTGGGTATTAATATTCCAGCTGCTAATTATATAATTTTTTTTAACAGTTGCATTCTAGGTAGATTTTTTCTTCTGAGGCAACATGGAATAAAAAATTAATCTAGCAACGTTTTTCTTGCCATATCTAACATGATAATTAACACCAGTTTCTGTTTGTTTTCACAGGCTACAGCTGGGAGGAAAAAATGTTTGGCTTTCACAAACCGAAGATGTACCGGAGTATAGAGGGCTGCTGTATTTGCAGAGCTAAGTCTTCCAGTTCTCGTTTCACTGACAGCAAACGTTATGAAAAGGATTTCCAGAATTGTTTTGGGTAAGATTCTTGCCTTAGTCAGCAGTTATGGTCGTTGATCTCCACTCTGCACACCTGATGTGCTGTCCTTCCTGCTCTGAAAGCCTGAAAGATTAGGTTAGCAGAGGGGAGAGGTGGGGGAAGGCTGCCTTTAGCTTCCCCACAGCTTTCTTGGGCAGACAGGAGGGGCTGGATCCTCTGCTGCTGCGTTTGGTACCATCTGATTATCAGTGTGCTGTCACTGCCAATGGAGAGCTGTTGATTCATAACAATAAAGGGTCAGGCTCGAGTCTCTCCCAGCTCAAAGCACATGCAGGGATTGTAGATCCCTCTTAGACTGCATTTTTCACTGATCCCATAGAGGTGTAAATAGCCTCACAAAATAATGAACTCTGCGGATCCTTGGGGGCTTTCTGTGGCTCTGAAGATTCAAGAATGTTAGATGAAAGTTAATGGGTTAATATTTAGCAGTTTCAGCAGGGTTCTTGCAGGGTACTTTGTTATGAATATTGGTGTCTTTGTTCAAGTAGGACATAGCAATGTGTTATTAAAACTTCTCACTGGAAACCCATTCTCATGGAAGGTGATTAGCTTTCCAATTAGGTAATGTTACTTGAAAGCATTGGCAAATAAAACTATTAAATACTACAGATTTCTTGTRCCACTTGCTGTGACCTTTCAATTTTTTAAAATACTTTTGAAGAGCTTTAGCMTTTTGTGTAAGTATTTCCCTTTTCCCTGCATTTTCTAGAAACACTCCTTTGRCATAGTGAGCTCTAGAGTGCTTTGTATTTGCCTTGGATTTTMGTACACAAGTCTGGTGGTGACAGTTTTCCTTATCATATTTCTTGACTACTGTCCTTGGCAGTCAAAGGCTGTGTGGAGATCCATTGCTTTTTTTTTTTTGTGGTTGTTTTTAACTGCAGTAAAGCAGCTTGCAGCATACCAGGGCTGTTGGTGCTGTGCTATCTGAAATATGTTTGCCAAGGTAAAAATGCAGACTAAACACTGAACAAATAATAGCTTATCTGAGCCTGCCCCATTCATCTCTCAATGATCCAAAGTCTTCCTATTTAAACAGCTGAAAAACTCTMCAATGTTCCCCCATTTTGTTTCTTTTCACGTGGATTAGCAGTRGAGGTGATTCCTGAAGAAAGCTCATTAATGGGAGTGAGTATTGCTGTCATTCCAGCATCTGCTGTTTCTGAAACCTTATGCTGTGCTCATGTGGGAGTGTGTTAGGTGATGTTTGTTACTCATCCTTGAAGCTCTGTGAGAAAGTTAAGACCTGAGTAAGCTTTTGATGTTTATTCCCAAGTGTGTGTTTGAATAACGTGATTATTCCTCCTGCTCCAGTCAAATTTACCAATCCACTGGAGCTGGGTCTTGGTTTTGGGGGAAGAAAAAAAAACCCCAAACTTGCAGGTGATGAGTCTGTTGTTTTCAGTGCCCCTCTGGAGGCAGACTGKGGCACCTTTTTATTTCTGTGTTGAAGAGTGCTTTCTGAAAGTGAGGCCTGGTCTTTAAATGGCACTGTTTGAGCATCCCAGGTGAATTGTAATGCCAGAAAAATGGATTTTCAGAGCCCTTCTCATTCATCTATTTTTATGCTTCTCACTGCTACCAAGTGGGGGTGTGCTTTTATTAACTGTGGTTAAGTGATCTTTGCCTTTGTTTTCACCAGGCTCCACGAGGCTCGCTCAGGAGATATTTGCAATGCCTGTGTCCTTTTGGTGAAAAGATGGAAAAAATTACCAGCAGGATCCAAAAAAAACTGGAATCACGTTAGTAAATTATTTCTCTTCCACCCCAAAACTGACTCTTTTTAGAGAGGGGAGGTGCTGGCAGAGGTTTGGGGTTTGCTCTTCTGCCCACGCTTTCTCTTCCCACCCTCAGCATCTCTAAATCCTTCCTGGAGTTTTTCCTACTATGCAGCTTCTACCTGCCTTCATTTGGCTTGTGTGCAGATGATGATTATGCAAGCTTGAGATTCGGGCACAGGCTGACTTGCCTTGTAATTCCTTGTTTTCACAAGCTCATAACTTTGACCAAAAGTCTCTGAAGACACTCAAAACATTTCAAATTTGGCCTTTATCCAAAATTGGTTGCTTTTTTTTTTTTTTTTCCCAAGCAAGGTGACTTGCTCAAGCAACACATAAATCAATCTCATTAAATCAGATAATTACAGTGACTAATATCTTGCAGCTATTTTCACTCTTGTATTCTGTTTTGATACATCTGATTTTGAACCTAGGSCTGGGAGGATGATCCGGATTCCTTGTATATGTAATAACCTTTATCCYGGATGCCTTGATAGTAATGGGAGCCAGAACTATGGTTATTATTACCACTAGCTTTACTCAGAAGTTAAATTGATGATTAAAAAAAATTTAAAAACCCCAGAAAAACAAAAAATCTCCAGGGTGTAAATGCTTGRCAGACACTCTTAATTGGACCTGTATTAGCTTAAACGATTTTTTTCTTCTAAACTGAGTGTGTCAAAAATGGGAAGTTGGCAAAAGTTGAACCAAATGTGCTTTTTAAACTGGTTTGCTGCATTTTCCTCTTACAGAGGCTGAGATWAAGGCAGATTTAAAAGAAACATGAGAGTGTCAGTGCTAACTAAGTGGGTTTTGAGCACCTGTAGCTGAGTGAGTCCAGTTGTCTCAGCTGGGACAGGATCTGGGTGTGATACACAAGTTATTCACATATGCATTTTCTGGTTCTAGGTGGTAGATGCCAGGGCTGGACCCAGCCTTAAAACAACACTGAAACCAAAGAAAATGAAAACTCTGTCTGGAAGCAGAATAAAGAGCAATCAAATCAGCAAACTGCAGAAGGAATTCAAGCGGCACAGTAAGTGGATCCAAAGGGATTCTGGCGATAAACTTCAGCCTCCCCTAACACAGCTGGGAACTGGCCAGGCTGAATCACCCTCTRCATTCAGCTGTGYRCTCACACMTTTGGRWTCTCSCTGTTCTCACAAYCTCCCATCCTCTGAGAGCTTGRGRAGGGGGTGGAGGGAGCAGGAAGAGCTTGTGTGCAGGGTGKGCTGCGAGGCAGAGGTGGGGAAGCAGCAAGGGGGTGTGAGAAGTCTGGCTTCACAGTGCAGGCACTTGTTGCTTTTGTCCCACACTGAAATGGCATGTCCCTAGGAGGAACTTCTTGGGCACAGCCCTCATTGATACTGAAGAGGCTTCTCTCTGCTCTCAGTGATATGCTATGGCCATTTTCAGCTCTTTTTTCCCAAGAAACATTGCAATCTTTTTCTTCCATACATGTTTTTTAACTTAYATTTACCCCCCTTTAAATTCCCACYATGTTTSCTTGTACCTTCCTYTGCCAGTCTCAGTGATTTCCWTCCAGTAGTACATGGACTCTCCAAACAGATTTGGATTTGTGGMTTTCCAACAAAACCATCAGCCAGTTATGCCCTAAATATGCATCAGTACTTAATGGTTTTCTTCTAAAGCAGACTCTCCAGTTTAACTGTTGCTGACTTGYTCCCTCTCTTTCAATTATCCTACCTAGTCAGAAGGAGAAGTCTCCAAAGATTCAGTACAGGCCCTGACCCAAGGAACTTTTATCTCCTCACCCAAGGTGCTGTAGTTTATCTAATTCCTTCATGTGCAAGGACTCCCTCCAGTTCTGAGCTCTGTTTCACAAATGCTGACTGATTAATCTCTGCATTTAAACAGGCCAGGAGCAAGTGAAATAAATGAATTGACACTCTTAGGTTTTTCTTGCTATTTAAAAAATGTCTGTGTTCCCAATCCACAAGCCGGGAAGAGGGTAAGTCATGGGATGCATGTCCTGATTGTTGCCTTTTTTCTTCGCCCTGCAGATTCTGATGCCCACAGCACCACTTCGAGTGCCTCTCCAGCTCAGTCCCCCTGTTACAGTAATCAGTCAGACGATGGCTCTGACACCGAGATGAGTGCTGGGGCCAGCAGGACACCCGTGTTCTCCTTCCTAGATCTCACATACTGGAAAAGGTAAAAAGCAGCAGAACATGCACTCTGTGCTGGTAGAAAATTTACTTGGTCTGCACACTGCTTGATTCTGCTTCAGGAAWTTGCTGCTGTCAGATTTTATTTGGTTTAAGGACATAATTTAAGCCRCAGAGCATTATACAACACCTGTCTGTCAGTCTTTGGAAAAAAAGGCCATGTATTTAAGACATTTTCCCCTATCTCCCTCCTGTTCCCTAAACACTAATACAGTTGCTGGGAAATATTTTTGCCGGTTTTGGGAGTAGCAGATTATATTCCTGTTGTTATCTTTTCTTAAAACTGTGCCCTGTAGATATGATGTGTTGCTACATAACAAGAGTGCTCTCAGCTTGCCAGCAAAACACAACATTTGATTTGGTTGACCTGTGATGGTAATCATTTGGAAAAAAGAAATTTCTGGAGTGGGAGGAAAACCACAAGGTTTTCTGGGAGCTGAYGAGCTTGTTATCTTTTATTGCATGTTGTGACACAGTAATCCCTTGTTTAGCTAATTGCTCAATTGAAATTGTTGTGACTTTGCTGCCTCCTCTCAAATAATGTTTGCAAGTGCATTGTAGCCAAGGTTAGTTCAGCCCAGATAGTTCTGTGTCTAAAACTTCTCTGGGAAACAAAGTGGGAGACTTGKTTTTGTGTAGATGTGTTTAGGCTTTTTTCTCATTTTGGTTTTTTTTTTTTTCTTTCCCAAATACATGTTGTGGATATAGAGACTTGTTTTCTGTTTGCGTGCAGTCTTTTTGCCCCTTTCTTCTGGGCTGGAGGTTCAGTAAAGTAGTATCTGGGGTCAGACTCACTTTTTGCAATTTTGTGAATTCTGTATATTCTAAACAGACCAAGCATCTGTCTCCCTGCCATTTCTTCCAGGCAAAAGGTCTGCTGTGGAATTATTTACAAAGGGCGTTTTGGAGAAGTCCTCATAGACACTCATCTCTTCAAACCTTGCTGTAGCAATAAAAAGTCTGCCACTGAAAAGCCAGAACAAGAAGGATCACAATCTCCAGCAATCTCCACCCAGGAGGAGTGGTGACTTCCTTGGATTATAAGGTTATACAGATCCTCTTATTCTCTGGAAAAATACTAGAAAAGTGACTGCTCACTTTGGACACCTGCTATGCTGCCAAAAGACTATTCCCTAGAACTGTTTTGGGTTTTACTGCTACAATTCCACAAACTCTGAAGCCAGTTTGTATCCTTTCAGAAAGACTGTACATAATATTTAAGATGCTATGGAACACTTGGCAAAGCTGAATGCTGCTGCAAGGTTGTCTAATTTTCCCCCCAAGTGAATATGAGGATGGGGGTTTGTATATTAAAGTATATGTAGTTCATGTTTCTGTATTGAAAGAAGCAGTGGTTGTAAGGCTTTTTTTTTTTCCCTTTCTTTAAAAATTGGTTGGCAAACTTCCTAAATCACYGAGAAAATATTTCATTCTTAGACATGTATGAGTCAATAAGATGAACTAATACATAGAAATGTTTTTAGTCACCTCTCTAGTTATATAAATATATATTTTTTAAAGGTGTGGAGATTTCTCCCTATACTACTGACATAACGAAAACAAATATTTCATCCCCCCCCACGTGACACAAACTGGTAATCTGCAGACATCTCTACTATGAGTGGTGGCTATCTYCACCATAAAAGTGCTCTTCAGAAGGGGTAGGAGAACTTCTCCACCTTAGGTAAGGAGTAAGATTTATTGAAGAACTGAACRTAGCAAAATGGGAGGTTCCTTTGTTTTAAGCAGCAGCAGGCWCCCTGGGCTTGGTGTGGTAATCCCTGGAGTTAGAGATGGACCAAGAAACATCTTGATGCCCAAGTCAGGTGTAGGTGACAGCCAAAACYGAGTAACTGCTCTCTGCTGGCCCAGTGCAGCTGAAATGTGACCACAAAGAAGACTCCTCCTGCTTTTGGACCTGACAAAGAACCAAACCCCTTGCTAAGCAAATCAGGCACTGGTCCAGGGACATAATCTGGTTGCAGCCTGGGGTSTGGATTCACAGTTGCTGTTTTGAAACCCTTCCCCTGCAGTGCTTCTCTGTGTATGGGTTTTGTTGKTTTTTTTTCCTCATTTTGTTTATTTAAGCAACTGCCAGATCAACGCTTTTGTGAATACAGAATCTGAAAAGTTCTGCTAAAAATGGTGCTGTGCTGAATCAAGGCAGCTCTGTTTGCATACGCGATCAAAAGATAATTCTTTCTACACAGATTCCCAGACAAGCTCATGTGCAAATCGTTGTGACACTCCTTCAAACTCTGCTTTGCCTGTAGTGGGGAAAGCAGCTTCCTGGAAGATTGTGCTGCAGTTTTAGCTCCCAGTTGCTTCATGTTCTTTTTATGAAGGTTTAATTTGTGTGAGTTGGGAATTTTTTTTTTTGTTTGTTTCCTGGTTTGTTTTAGGGGGT